AGCATCATCAAATGTAGGTTACGGTTTCATCTGAATCACTTGTGTTCTCTCGTAAGCTTAGCCTACTCTTACTTCTTACATAATAGTTTGTTTCTTGGTATAACAAATGAATATGCTATACTGTGATAGATTAATTTGTTATATTTACACCGAAAGAAATGAAAACACATTGTATTAGTACTGGGTCTTCTAGGTCTGGATTAGTACCGGGTCTTCTCGGTCTGGATTATTATTGGGACTTCTAGGTCTGGATTAGTACTGTATCTTCTAGGTCTGGATTAGTCCTGGGTCTTCTAGGTCTGGATTAGTACTGTGTCTTCTAGGGCTGGGTTAGTACTGGGGCTTCTCGGTCTGGATTATTACTGGGTCTTCTAGGTCTGGATTAGTACTGGGTCTTCTAGGTCTGGATATGATATTTCCACTAATAAGTCTCTCCGAGCCGTGACCCTTGTATCGTGAAAGATCAATCATTAGATATACCTTAAAAAACTCTCATTAGGAAATATATATCTTCATCAACAACAGTTGTGTGAAATTCATCTCTAATCGAAAACAAGTCCTACAAAAGACAAAAAATAAAAAGATTTCGTTAACATCTTTTCCAGTCTTTAAACTTCAGCTGTTTAAATATCTGTTTGTAACTCAAAATGAAAGCTGCATCACATTTTGATATCCCATGGTAGATACTTAATAGTTTAGGGCTAATAAAATATATCTATCTTTTCTTTTCTACTCTGGATATCCGGTTCAGTAAAATAGCCAGCAAATATCCATAATGGTTTTTTGCAAGAGACGACATGTTATGTTTGCGTATGTCGACGATATCTGCCATTGATTCAATCATAGTTCACGACTTGCAGGCATATTTTATTCGTGTATCGTCCTTCTGGCGCCGTGAAGCTTTCCCATTTATGCTAGCGTACTTGATAAATCAAGAGATTATGTAGTTATTTCCGTGATACTTCAGTTCATTGGTTATGCTATGAAACGCCATTCCCAAAGCCACAGGTACGGGGTGAAATGAGGCTGTGGAGGTCTGTGACAGGGCATGCGTAGAATTCTATGTGTAGGTGTGGAAGAGCCTATGGCAGTTTAGGATTTAAGTCGAAAGTAACAGTATGGCTCCGAGCCGTAACATGTATAAAATTTAGGAAGGCATATACTTACATACTCAAAATGAATAAAACTGTTCAATATAAAAGGGTGAGGTTTGGAACTGGTAAATGCCTATTCACGCTGTAGCATAGTTGTATAAAATATGATCACACTCTCTTAGCCTTGACAATCCTCATAGCGACTCGATCACGTAATGCTTTGATATTTTGTAAGAAGAATAGAAGGGAAAAGGTAGCTAACATTTTCCATATTTATTTGGTTTGCCACATGAAATGTGGTAAGCAGAACAACAAAAACAAATCACAAATATCATAAATTGACTAAACACCATTGTATTTCATAATGAAACAATTAAATGAGTTTTAACTATGTTTGTGAAACAAAAGAACAATGACGATAACGAATAATCAGCCATCATTTGACAGTGAACCGTTGATATAATCAGAATGGCTTAATGGAAAAAAATTAAAGCATATGGTCTTAGAGGCAATATTTGTAATTGGTTGAGAGATTAGTTAAGTGGTAGAAATCAGATGGTATGTTTACGTGAAGCCTTTTCTTACACAGGATATGTAAATGCTGGTGTGCCACAAGGTTCTGTTTTAGGACCATTTCTATTTTTGTTATATATTAATGATATTTGTGAAAATTTATTTTCATTGTCAAGAATGTTTGCTGACGACACTTCACTCGTATATTCTTCAAATAATAGTGCAGAGATTGAATATAAAATGAACCATGATTGAGCAGTTATAGATCACTGGTCGAAGAAATGGAATGTAAATTTTATTCCTAATAAAACAGACGTAGTTGTTTTTACTGGTTCTTTAGAAAGACTTGATGTTCAGTTGACTTTTAATAACACAACATTGACAAAAAGTGTTACACACAAACACTCAGGGGTAACTTTAAATGAAAATGGCAAGTTGGAAACACATATCTTGCATATTGTCAGATCAGCCTCTAAACATTTGTCTGTTTTACGAAAATTGAAATTTACTGTGAATAAAGACATTTTATCAAAATTATACATCAGACCTATTTTAGAATATGCGAGTGAAGTGTGGGATGGTTGAAACAATGCAGATTCTGATAAAATAGAAAAAGTCCAACTGGAAGCAGCGAGAGTAGTAACAGGTTTGCCTTTATTTACTAGTAGACAGCCTTTGTATAGTGAAACTGGCTGGGAAAAACTTGAAGACAGACGGAAACAAAAACGATAGTTATTATTATACAAAATGCACCATAATTTAGTTCCTTCTTACCTAAACGACATCGTACCAAATAAAGTAAATGACATCAGTAGATATAATTTAAGAAATGGTCATGATTATGTATTACCCAAGTGTCGACTAGTTTTGTATGAAAAATCGTTTATCCCCAGTACCCTGAGAATGTTGAATTCATTAGATATTTCAACTAGAACTCTAGAAACAGTGTCAAAATTTAAACATAGCATTTTTAGAAAAAACAATCCTGTAACTTAACTGTCTGTAGGTAACAGAAAATTTGATATAATACATACTAGACTTCGTCACGTCTGTAGCGCATTGACTGCAGATCACCAGCATGTTACTGTTCTTTCTCAATAGAAAACCACTTTCATTAAAAAAAATCAGTGTAATAGATACAACCAGTGTCGGGATATACTTTTCAGACAATTGTCTAGATATGATATAGTCATTGATTTAGATGTACTGTTGAATGGTTCTATTAATCTGAACCAGACTGATAATGATAATATACGGTTGTTTGTACAAGAATATATCAAAAATACGAATCGTTTTGCATAATCTGCTTCAGTATCAAATAACAAAGACAAATCATCATTATTAGTCAAATGAAATGTTAAGTAGAAAATTGCGGTTTACATGCAGAAACTGGTTCCAACACTCAGTGGTATCTATTCACTATGCTTTATTATACATGTACATACTTTAAGTGTTAGGTATGACATTCAAACTATATCTCTGCCATTTTAAGTTAAATTCCTTGAAGTAGTACTGATATAAGGGAAATGCATATTTCCATCTGTATACATTAATGTTAAGTTTTATATATATGTATACATAATATTTATATCAACTGTTCATGAAATGCTGCCATACATGTATGTTACCATTGTATAATAGTTTATGGAAGAGAACGTTTCTAAGTTGTTTAACTTGTGTCCAATTCCATTTGATGTTTTTCAAATAAAATATGCTTAAACTAAAACTAAAACTATAATCAGAATTTACATTAACATCTCATTTAGTACCCCGTACCGTAGATAGCAAGATGAACAAAATATAGGACTGTCTGGCACTGCTGCGCCTTATTGATGTAATGTCAGTTTGGGCTCTGCAGGAAATTTGCCAGGTCCGAGGTGTAGTCAAACAAAAACAATGCCTTTGTTCAATCCACAATGGAGACGTAAGCACAATCATGAACATATACATGACAACAGTTCAAACAAATACAGTGTAAGACCTTATCGATAATCTTAAAGAATCGTTTGGTGTCCATCACAAGTTGTATTCGCATCATCTTCCTGTTCCCGGTGTCATTTAGAAATTTGTTTGGAGACTTCATAAAATGATTGATGATGTTGCACAATATCGACTGTTGAAGCCTGTTTTACTCCTAGTCACCACTTCGGTTTTTCTATTGTGAATTTCCCAAGATGCAGGGTGATAAAAACCATGGACAGGTTAATTCCCATCATGATCTCATAGGAAACTCTGCTTTACCATGGTTTGACAGGAAGTTCGATGCTTTTTTTTTATTATACTCATAAGTGTAATGGCTGCTTTGTTGTCCCTTTCTAGACTCTTAATATGAAGACGTGCCATTTTCAACAAGATTATCTTGGTTTGTTTCATCAATCAGCCAGAAATCGTTTGTCTTTTCGGAACGCTTGGTCTTATTCTCCTTGTTCTTGTAGATTGATGAAACTATGGTAGAAACAAAGACAAAATGTATACATTGGTCCTTGATAAAATGCAAGAAGAATGCATGATTGTCATCATAAAATCAGCAATCGACATATATGCAAGTCCTTGAAAACTGAATCAAAAGTAACATATAAACATTGTAGATGAAGAAGCAGGGATATAACTACCACGATAAGGGATATTCAAAATCAGAAAGTTGAAATCGGTATTCCCTATGTTGAGAGCATGGCAGTGGATGTAGGTTCTAAAGATGTGTGTTACCGTTGTTCTTTATGTATTGAACAGAGTTGCTGCTCAACCCTACTAACTGATACAAATATTAGACTTTGATAAATAGATACAACCAAAATGATGTGAAGTACGTCAATTCTGATTCTTTATATCTGCTAATTACTCTTTTTTTTATTCTTGCATAAGAAATATGAAATACCTAAATGTAAGTCATACAAATATTGTAAATTAAAGTAACACATAGTTAAGGACAGAAAGGTTTAGATGATATATCGCGCTGATTGAAATGACATCAGTAAGTAAGATCCCGTCGAGTGAGTTTTGAAGTCTCACTATGCTCTAAGCTATATTTTATTATGATACTTACCGAAAGAGAAAAAACAGAATTTATCCTATTTTAAATTTTAATTTCAAATAAGTATTTATCAATGCACTATTATGTGCACCAAGGTGTACAAAGTATGTATGTTTGCAAGTATGTATCAATTCACACTAGTTTTGAAAATATTGTATAATTTCTTAAACGTGCACGTACATCACCCTATAATATACGTCACGGATAATATTCGATTAGTTGTTGAGATGTGCGGTTGACACACCTGTCCAATCCTTCAAATACCATACATCTCATACTATCCAACATTCCTATCAAACTGAAAACCTTTTGACCTCTATTTTCATTGGACAATTATGTGGATATAAGCGGGTGAAAAGTACTCGAACAGCATCAGTCCTGATCATGCGTTCGTTCGTAGTCACCGCGTTGGCAGCTGCCATAGTAGCCTGTCTGGCTCTGACTGTATCAGCGGGGGGCTATGGGGGACACCACCAAGCGTACGCTCATTATAGACCGCCACGGTATGGCGTCAGGTTATTCCGTCAACGGTATCTTGTCGACCCAGGCAGCGGTGGCGCCATCGGAGGCGCCTCACTATATGGAAGCCAGTATGGATATGGAAGCCAGTATGGATATGCTCAAGGAGGAGGACTTATTGGCCAAACCGTCAATACGGGGTTTAATCTTATCTGGATTTTAGTTATTGCTGGTACGTATACTACATTACATAGACCAATATCATTTTGTATTTATTTTTCGTTACATAGACCTTAAACAAACTTTATTTAGCATTGCATAGACCTAATATCAAGTTATCATTTAGCATTACATAGACATAATAACAAATTCTCGTTAAACATTAGAAAGACCTAATGTCAACTTGTTATTTAGCCTTACATAGACCTAATATCAAATTTTCAATTGGCATTACATAGACCTGATATCAAATTGTTATTTATCATTACATAGACCTGTTTTCAAATTGTTATTTATCCTTAAATAGACCTGATATCAAATTGTTATTTAGCATTACATAGACCCAATACCAAATTGTTATTTATCCTTAAATAGTCCTGATATCAAATGGTCATTTAGCATTCATAGACCTAATATCAAATTTTCAATTGGCATTACATAGACCTGATATCAAATTGTTATTTATCATTGTATAGACCTGATATCAAAGTGTTATTTAGCATTACATATACCTAAAACCAAATTGTTATTTATCCTTAAATAGACCTGATATCAAATTGTTATTTAGCATTACATAGACCTAATATTAAATTTTCATTTAGCATTACATAGTCCTAATACCAAATTGTTATTTATCCTTAAATAGACCTGATATCAAATTGTTATTTAGCATTACATAGACCTAATATAAAATTTTCATTTAGCATTACATAGACCTATTATCAATTTTTCATTGATCAATATATATACCTAATACTATTCCGTATTAGATGAATCTAAACACTCTAGCTTGTTGAATAGTTCACCATACCATATTTCAAAAGAGTGCTAGATCTTAGTTAGTACCAACCGCAGCGGCCAATGCAAACAGCATTAGGTCAATTGGGGGAAAAGATAATCATCTGAAGAATCCAAATGACGTAACAATCAATACCTGTTCATAAGAGAAGATAACTCTGCAATACCCAAAGACGGAATATAGACATTTCGAACGTCAGCTGAACTGTTTACATGCGACTATTACAAGATAGACAAAAACAGAGGGCTCGTCTAAAAGGAATATTTATTTGAGCTCTGATGAATAATCATAACATGTAAATTCTTATTCAGAAATGTTCCTTGTATAAAACGAGGAATACTTTATCTTGTTAGGAAGAATAAACATGAAGCAGAATGTCTTACTTTTGTAAAACGGTGTTTCAGACTATCCCCAACATAATAAACTGAAAACAATGTTATTCTTTTTTTCAATGTTTTCTCTTCCAGCGATTGCCCTGTTCATCATTGGCAGTATATAGAAAAGTGAGTATCGGACGACTCCATATTAACTATCCATAAACGTTTCCTACCTTTCCTCTCTTCTATTTTTTTCTATCTACATATATGTACTTTCTCTTCCCGGCGATAGCTCCCTGGGTTTCAAAGTTGCAAGAAAATTGTCGTTTTAAACGAATAATTGCCACAAATCTTGATTATATGATAAAAATTATCTTACACTCGTTTTCCTTTCATATGAGATTTATGAAACTTGTCACGAATGTTTCATTTTAGCTCGCCAGGGACTCGCTAAATTAAAAAAAATCTTAGACTAGTTTCATTGATCTCATATGAAATGGAAACCCTGGTAAGTTCCTATGCAGTGACATGCACATGAATGTAATGCAATAATTACTCAAATAAGATAAACGATACCAAAAGAGATTTTTGGAAAATGTAGATGCGGTGTACACGCACCTAGCTTTTACTTATGTTTGCTTTGTCTTTGTTTCAGGAGTAACTTGATTCTGACTGACTGACACGAACTCCCAACACAATGCTCCTGTTTTGCACTTCTACTATGTCGTTGCTCCTGTTTTCCAATTAAACCTTTTGCTGTTTTATCATTTAATGCTATTTGTGTTGATCTGTGTTATTCCATTCATATCTGTATATATTAACGTTTTAGAACGTCAAATAATTCGAACTACCGATTTAAAGAAATATTAAAAGACTAGAAACGTTTAATGGCTGTGTGATGAAGTCAAGAAATTTTAACCAGAGGAAAATTGTTTACTGCCTAAACTCGAGGCGCTGCAAAACTTAAGACCTTAAACAATATTTAGCATTTATATTCTTCTATATACCACGTTCCGTTGCCATGATGAACTAATTATCATGGGTTGTCAGTATGAGAATCTCAAAAAGATGTTCAGGTGATCTGCGTAAGAAAATAGTCCGTCATGAACGAAGTCAATGACGATAAAGTTGTTATACAAATATTTTCCTGTAATGTATATAGTGTTTTTAGGTTCATGGTATTCCTCTGCACAAATCTTCTATTTGTTTACGTTCGATCTCATGATCGATGATCATTGAGCCTAGAAGTCATTTGGAAAATATGGTCCTTGGTTGACTTTTAAAGAATGGAAATGCATATGAGGTACATATTGTAGTATTTAGATGACCAACAGTTCATCACACCCGGTTTTAGGGGATTTTTGAGAGAAAACAATGTCATCGCTCGGATAAAATCTCTAGTCTAGCTGTGATTGACTCTCGATTATACCCGCGTACTCGCGATGAGAAAAGTGACATCACGACAAACGCTATATCACAGTGTGATACTTATAAATCCAGATTGGTCCCTTACTACGTTATGCTTTCATTATTAATTGTTTTCCAAAACCTGACTTATAATTCTTTGCACAAGAAACCGTCATTTCAATGTTCATGTTAATATACCGCTACATTAGATATATGGATGTCAAATTGAGTATGATATATATACACCTATATACGGAGGCACGGTAGTCTTGTGGTAAGTTGTCGGGCTCGTGACCGAATGGTTGTGCGTTCGAGTCACGTAACGGCAATGTGAACAAGATACTTTACTCCGCTTGTTCAAGTCTACTCAGGTGTAAATTTTATGAGTATCTGGTTTGGCAATTCTGGACAAGTTGAATGCTATCTGTGAGCGCCTTAACGGCAGCACCTGCTGTATGCTCCCAAGGGAGTTGATAAGGATATTGGCTGGTTGCAAAGGCCCTATTACCACGGATAATAATTTGTGAACCGCTTTGAGACGACCTAAGCCATAGGTTGTGATAAAGCGCTATATAAGAACCTCGAATTATTCTTATTATTATATGTGTGATATATTTACGCTGTAAAACACAAAAAGGGTATCTATTTTATGCGGTTATCATTTCCACAAGTAGCTGCGTAAGTATCCCAGATATCACAGATATGACCCTACTTTAAAACATGAAGATATTGATGTGATATATTATGCTTAATAAATAATAAAAAAAAAACACTGTCCATTTTCGTTCTCAAAGGTACTACCGGAGGGGACTATTTGTTTGCGTTCAGTCAATCAGTTAGATTCACTCACTCGCTCACTCACTTACTTGCGTGCTCGCTGGCTTCGACAATCACTTCACACAGAGTACAAATAATGATAATTACCAATAAAAACGCATATGTTTATGTCATGTTGTACAACGTTTGCGATACAAGAGCGCCATAGCTACCTTATGTAACCACTGCCGGAAAATACTCGTTCCCAACTGAAACATGTACTTCCCAAATATTATTGTGAAAATATTTCTCAGTGCTTTTACTTATGCATGTCATGATAAAAGAATTCATATTTGCATAATTTAGAATAAACTTGGTATTGATTCATGTTGTCATGTTTTGGAATGGTTTTGCTCCTGAAAAGTATTCAAAATCTAAAAAGCAGTCATGCGAAAGACCAACTAAAGGATTTGAAGGCAAAAAACGGCCCGAGGCCTACATAGTCTTTTTCTTCTTTTATTACTTGATGAAGATGAATTGTAGATCTTAAAAGAGGTTTTCCCCCCGATTTTGTTTCCCTGACATCACTTCAAGTATGCGAAAATATCCGGTTTTAGTCTTAATACCCAGTTTTCAGAGATATTTGTTGGCAAGAGAGCGGGGAAAACCCTAAAGCAGATATTTAAATCAAGGACGGCCTAGTGCAGTGTTCTTCTCTACTGGCGATCAACACTTACATACATATCTAGTCACCTGGCCTCATTTTCAACAAGTGAAGTGAATTTACTCGACCTGGACCTAAGCTTTCTGCACCACACACCTGGTTTGACGAAGAAATGTACTGACTTAATGATAATAATAATATACAACATTTATATAGGGCTCTATATAATTTATAAAAATACTCTAAAGGGCTTTACAATATATGAATAATAGTATTAGTTATAATTGTGAAACAAAAACAAAGGCTATCAATCACTTTTATATTTTTAAGCAAGCAGATAAACAAATAAAGGGTGGTATTTACATGACGTCTTTGCAAAGATCCTAAAACGCAGACGTCTTGATGTCCCTCTTGAATTTGGACAGGGTATTTGACTTTGAAATAGCAGATTTTAAGCTATTCCACAACGTGGCCGAAATCCTCCCTTAGCATCGGTTTCCATAGGTCACAGTACGAGGTTTTGGGACACACAACAATGATTCTGACTCCGACCGCAGTGATCGTAACGGCTGATACAGGATAACAAGCTGTTCCATTCAGTGCCTTGTATGTGTACACCAAAATTTTGTACTTCGACCTGTAACGTACAGGTAGACAGTGCAATGCATATAGCACAGGTGTGATGTACTCTCTCTTTCGAGCACGAGTAACCAGCCTTGCTGCAGTGTTCTGGACCCTTCTGCAGACGACTAGTTAGCTTGTCAGATATACCACAGAGCAGGGCGTTACCTTATTCCAACTGAGAGGTAACAAGTGAATGCACCAAAGTCTTTCATGCATCTGCAGTTTTAAACGTCCGAATACCGCCGATAATCTTGATCTGGTAGTAACAGCATTTGGCAATAGCGTTCGCTTGTTTCTTCATGTTCAGTGAACTATCAAAGTATACACCTAGGTTTTTAACAGCTGGTACAGTCCCAATAGTTTTGGCAAGTCTCAATAGTTTTGGCAAGTCTCAATATTTCTGACTTGGATAATTCGAAGTATCTTACCTGCTTCATAGATCATATGTATGATCACGTGATTTATGTGACATCTAAAGAGGTCAAAATGATGAAAGCAATAGTAATGATGCTGTGTATTGTCCGTAATGTCCTTATCTTGTAAACTTCGGTGTATCATAACGGATAAATACAAATGCATATGAAACTGTTCTTCTTCTTTCTCGTTCTTGCTGCTCATAAGAGACAAACAATAGTCTTACTGAATACAATATTACGTTTGATGACCTTTTAACTCTGAAGAAACGATTGAGGGTTCAACATGTTTTCACAATATTCTTCTTGCTTCCTCTCTCTCTGTATTACGCACTTTATAAGATAGTTCTTCTAAACTGTTCATGATGACATTTGGAAGCTAGCTGGGAGATTTCGTAAAATAATTGATGATATGGCACAAATTCGTCTCTTCAAGCCTGTTTGTACGGATAATCAAGACTCGTCAGTATTGCGGGATTTCATGAAAGTCAATTTTGCCCACAAAAAGGTAGATGTCATGAACATGAGTGATATCCTGCATCAAAGGTCTGTTGGAGATAACATTCCACGATACTTACAGTAAGTCTAAACCCTGTGAATCCAAACTACAATAGTGGAATTTAGATGACTGTAGAATATCTCCTATTAACATTATTTTTTTAATATATGTAGTTGTATGCTGTTAACTTAAAGTCCGTGCCCTTATGTTTATGCTACCAAGCGATCACTGCATATACAAATGTGTTGGAGCCAAGTGGATGAAAAGGGATGACCTGAGGGTGTTGTTACTGCAGTATAAATACACTTATGAGCGTAGAGATAAATCAATATATCAAGTTATGCTTATTATCATAACAGCAATTAAGTGTCAGTGAATAAATAAACAAATTCATCGACAGCCAATCAGAAATGAAAACTGCCTTCGTTTATTTAACAGAACAATTCGAAAGTTGAGAGTTTTTACCAATTAATGATTCTGGCGGTTATTTGAACTTTGTTTCGTCGCATTAGAGAGAAAATGAGTCACATGAGTGTTCCGTGCGTGTGCTTGTCTTACCCAGGGTGGTGCTGGGCTATATTCTCGATCTATCATAAAAATAAAAAATAAAAAAAAGTTGTGTACATGAACAGTATCCTTTGCTTAATTTGGACACCTATGTTCATTCGCAGTTAGTTGTGCATACCAAGGATGTAGCTGTTTAGTGATAGTGCGTCCATGCTATAGATCGGGTAGACCGGTCGGGATACTTTACTGATACTCTTTTTTAAACCAACCTTTATGAATAACGGTCGCTACCTTTCAAATACGTTTCCGTAATAACGATTATATATTGTACATGTATACTCCTTCTTGTAATTACCCATATAAGAGGGTATTGGAAAGATTGTTACACAAAAAGTGTGATAAGCTAGTATTTCGTATAAGTATAAGCAATAAACGAGCATGTGCTTGAGTAATTCCTTTACGTCTGAGGAAGAACGAATATGAAGATATATCAGTTAGAGGTAAAACTGAAGACAAATGTTGTGTAATGGCTTCATTAACAGAATGTCGAACATCTGTGATTTAAAACTACTGTGTCCACACAGTAACCACGAAATATGACGTTTGAAAATCAATTCACGAGGAACTGTTTAATAAATATCAAAGTATAATTTTTGATAAACATATGCTTAACGATTGTAATCCCACGAAGATACTACCAAAGGTATTATTTTGGTTGTTAAATACGAAGATACTACCAAAGGTATTATTTTGGTTGTTAATACCACGAAGATACTACTAAAGGTGTTATTTTGGTTGTTAATACCACGAAGATACTACTATAGGTATTATTTTGGTTAATTATCAAGTGTTCGGTATCTGTCTGTTAATTATGTAAACACGCGGATTTCACGCTATGTCAACAAACTGATGAAGATACAACTAACAACTTATTTAAACATTTGTAATTCCTGTGTTCTTAAAACACTGAATGCCGATTGGGTTTTTTTTGCATGATTTTGGAAGACAGTACAATTCTACGTCATCAGGAAATTTTCTGATCGTTTTTGTCTAGATTTAATGTCTATAAAGTGACTGGAGTTTAAGCTTATGGCATTTTATGATTATTTTTACAATAATTAAAAGTTTTTTTGTTGAAAATGAAGACTTTATTCTTTACTACTGCAAACTTTTTTCTTCTTAACTGTACGTACAAGCTACCTGAACATTCTGAGAGCAGCATTTCACGTGCTAAAAATGATAAAAGAATTTTTCAATAACTTTAATGTTGATACAGTAATCTTAAACAAATAGTCTGATGCGTTGTCATTTGAAAAGCATGCCTATATTCCCTGTTCATTGATGAAAACTAGATATGTCCAGTCGTACGAGATGACTTAAGGTTGACTAAAGTTTTTCACTAGTAACAAAATATTAGAAGTATTCAACCAGTAAGGAGTTATTCAATATCCTCTATTTACAAATATTGATGCAGAATCATACCTTCACACACACACACACAATGTATTGATTTCTTTTTCAAAAAAATAGTATGCAAATACAAGCCTTTTTTTCTTTCATTTTTTTTAATAGAAAATTATAAACTACTGATGATAGAAATACATGAAACTGATATTTTAAACCGATAACATGTCAAAGTATATATGTAAACCAACAGGAGTTTAGACTGAAACATTGCATCTGTTACAATCCGACCATGAGAATCTAGATTGTTTATAATTATAATGATAAACAACATTTGATATAGCTCCCTATCTAGCTAACATAAGCCACTCTAAAGCGCTTTACAGTACATAGATATACAATTAATACAAATAGCATATGCAATAATCAATACAATTTTTGGGGAGTTCGCAGAAGCTGCCTTATCAGGCACTAACTACAAGTCATATGTCGCCTGGCTAATATCTCCATATGTGTGTATGCCTGCGTGAGTGTTTGAGATGTAATGTTATATTATCAATGCTTATATTGATATCTATTAGAAAAAGGTGCTTTGTTAGGGAAATATGAATAAGACGTTATTATTTTATCTTTATTTTAAGAATATGATACTTCTTAATGTTCTTTACAAGAAAAATTCAACTGGTAAAGACGTTGTATCAAAACATTTTAAAAAAATAGTAAATACTATCGTATATCCCATCCGTTTATGTTTGTTCTTCAAACTACATCTGAGAATTGTCGACATGTGGGCAGATTTCCTGAAAGAAATTTGTATATTAGAAAAAATAGCAATCTTAAAAATTACGATTCAAAATTAACAATCTTAATCAAAACACAAATATATCAAATTCAGTATTACATCATCGTAAATAATCAAATATATTGGAATGGCCAAACAGTATTGAAAGCAGTACTGAGGGTGGCCACTTAGCTGCGGGTAAATTAACACAAGAAAGTATTTTTATGAACATATACATTCATTTTTAAAGATGCTAATATCAGAATTAATAAATTTGAAGTTCTTCTTACATTTGTTTGTTTTAAGACAGCAGTTTGTTCCAAGACTAGGTAATCTTGATGGAAACGGTCTAGACGCACCAGCACCGACATCCTATTGATGACAGAAGGCAGAATAGAAAACATGCGTACACACCATAAGCAATATAGCACGTATGTTTGAGTGGCGAACAGTCAGTCAAAACTGTACCGTATAGAGTGTTTGACTGTCTGTTTGCTTGTGTTTTGCGTGCTGCTAACACATGCCTTAAACAAATGTACCTAAATCATATTCCATTGTTTTATCGTATATATGATATAGTTTGAAGGTTATAACACGATGAGGAAAATGGATAGAACGAAAAAGATGAAACCTGACTTTGAACAAAATCGATGGTTATGTCATCACACTAAGCTTACTGACTTACTTTTGGCGGTGTTAATTCTTTTCCAGTCAAGATTTTATCAAATGCTCCTTTCTGCTGCTCCGTCTAAAATTATGATTCGTGCAACTTTAGTTTCAATATTGGAAAGCACACGAGTGGGAACGTTGTTACAAGGACTATACAGATAAGAGTTTTTAAGTGGCTCTATATCAAGTTAAGAGAATAATAGTTGATTTATATTATCTTTTAATTACAGCTTCAACATTGCCAAACTATATCTTTTCAGTATTGTTCTTGAATAGGTAAAGCAAATCGTTGCAGGAATAAAACTTAAAAATTAGCGGGACGCTCAAGTTGTTCTACAGTAACATTCTTAAGTATGTCTATTCTACTTCATAAAAATTACAAGCAATCAGTTTTTGCTGTTTCATTTGTTGTGATTCCGCTATAGTGATAAAATTATGTTCGGGTTTAACTTAAAACTAACGAAGCGGTTGTTCTCCTTTTTAGGACCTTATTGAACTCATAGATTGACATGACAAAGCAAAAGAAGCTTCACCTTTCTCGACAATTATACTTGTTTTATTCCCTTTGAATGTTTTCATGGTTCTTTATGTAAATCTTTCTTTGTTCATATTCAGTCCAACTTTTATCGAATCTGTCGTTCACACTTTAGTATTCTCAGGGTTTTTTTAAATAATTTTTTATCACATATTGTGTTACTTCTCAAGTGTGACGTCACGGCCGAGAAAATGTATATGAAGACATGAAACTCCAAGTCGGCGTTGACCCGAGAAACTATTTGTAAGGGCATCTCTTAAAAGTAGATGTATTGTACCATTACGTTTTTATCCAATTTTACTTTGGGTTCATAAAGATTAAAACTTTATTTTATAATCACAATGATATACAGGTAGCAATTTTAATACAGTAAAAGTCAAAATATTCGAGCAGCTAATATAACTCTTTCGTCTCTCCATAGGTTCGTTAAGGGGGTTAAATATAACGATTCAATAGCGTTATATCTTTATAAAAAGATACGCATTGCCTCTACACAAACCATTGTCTAGAACGTAACTTCATTAATATACTGTAAACCGGGAAATTTTCGCACTGTCAATTTTTCGCCCTTCGACGATAAAATCCATTTTGGCCCCTATTAAATTCGCCCTTCAAATTTGATTACTAAATAACTAATTACTAATCGAAATTTTCAAGGTGTGCAGTATGTATTACCATTATTTTGAGATATTTTGGATATGCTCTCGGCCTACAATCGGCATCATTAAGGTCGCCTGATATAACAGTTATCTGTACCACCGGGCACAACCCATTACAATCTTTCACCGTTGTCTCTGTTCGTCTTGTTAAACTTTGTAGTTGTATGAATAGTAATCTGAAAATAAAAATAAAACACATTTAAAGTCAAATCTGAGTAAAACATCACTTGTTTCAATGATAAGGGCCGTGCATCAAAATAATAAGTTTCATGATTGTGATATACATGAAGAAATAGTTATCAAATACCGTACAAAACAAATGTATTGTTATGATTATTTTCATTAGCAATTTTAGCATTGAGCAATTTTATTTGAAGTTTCGTATTTTGTTTGTTTATTCGAGCTTAAAGTGTGTTTATATATATATCTTGTTATTAGAAATGTCCGAAATCCTAAATAATCACAGCAGAATCTAATGCAACTCTTGCTATTTTATTGCATATCTGTTTTGAAAGTCCAAATAGGCTACATCGATGTTATACACAATTACAATGCGTTTCGATATATTTATTTGAATATTTACGAATGCCTCTTCCATAATTCCAATATCCAACTTTTTTTGGCATCCTAGCACCACATATGTCACCTGTAATCATGTACTCCGTCATATCCAATAAATTGTGTAAGCACTTCCTTGACACACAAAATAGTTTAAACCCGTTAGTGTGCGGGTTTAACTGTTGGTAATTTCTTAACCTGAACTGGTGAAAGATTTCACCATAAACTGTTTTTGGATACTAAGGGATCCGATCCAATATAGGGGAAGGCAAATATGCATTCGATTCATTAAATAATTCGAGTACGTGTAAAAGATACAGTCTAGAAAACGCCGAATTTGTATATGTGATACTAATAGTTTCAATTAAATGTTCACGTAGACAGTTCACATAATAGAACATACAGACAGGTAAAGCGGTGTGAGACACTTCGGTTACAGGATCTGGTTCTACTACGTACACTATATACCACAACTTAATGACATGGAGCATATGTAATTCTGTATACGTTATCTGGTACAGTTTACACCTTCAGAATGGGTATCGACATTCTTGTCTACATTTAAGGACTCGCACAACTAAATCAGACAATCAGCAAGTGATTTATACGATTGTATTCCCTACCTACCTAAACTTTGTTCCGGTAACAGTGCCTCTGAATTTGGCCTATAAACTTCCGATTGTCAACAACAGAAACCTTAAATATTAAAGTTATTAGCTCAAAAGTTAATTATAACAGATGGCGAATTATAAAGTTGTGGGATCGAGTCCTTAGCATAGATAAGATCATTCTTAACCAGCCCTATTTAGACTTCGTCTTTAGCCATTAGGTCTACAATGAGCAAAAGGATGTTTCCTTACTTGTATTTCTAGACATTTCTAGCCGTTATTGTAAATCCAGACGCTCACCGAAACCATAGACAGTTACTTAAATCACACGCCTAAAATGCTTAACACTCGGTATTGCTTACCCGACTTCTTTGTCCCAGTAATATTGCCCGCCGTCTGTTTCATTTGATAATACATCGGTACTATTGACCGATGTCCAGTGTGATAAATCGGCTCGCCACACCGGTGCCCACGACTTGAGGTCAAACGTCGCATCTCTTGGTAAGCACACTCCGATTTGAACAGGGTAGTCCCTACAACAAATTAATATTATAGATTAGTGAAAACTTCGAAAAGGTAGCGCTACTATTGTACCAACCATTACAGCGATACCCTAAAAACATAGTAAATCTAAATGATAGGACACGCAAACTAACAAACAACATTAAATATATTATTTTAAATATAACACAAAATTTAGGATTAACAATGTATTAATATATATATCTTAAAATATATGAGCGTACAGTAAGCGTGTATACGATGAATACACAGTGGAGCATTTCGGTTTTCAGTTTCGTTGGTACATGAATTCGTTGATAAAGAGTACCCAATCAAACGATTGCTTCATATCAAACTTGTGATTACTTCCCGGTGCTATGAATTCGTTGATGATGATTACCCAGTAAAGCAACGAAATTTAAATAAAAACGAGAATTAGTGATTTCACAATAACTTAATTAGGGTTAGGATGTCAAAAACGTCTCTCTAAACGCTCTAGATTAGCCCCACCATGGCTGGTTCATAACACAATATAAAATTATAAGATCAACACAATTTACTTATAATTTACTTTTCCACCCCAAGTCCTTCCAGTACAAACTTGCGAGGTACACGGGAGTTCCAATGAAGGGTATAGCTATAGTTCCCACCGAGCACAACTAGGAATTGAGGGTTGTACGCGTATTCGCTAATTGTCTCGCTCACATCAGACAGGTCGTCACGGACCAGGATGGGAAGTATGGCTTTGTCATCGACATTTGGAACATGAAGCATGAGCTGTAAATACAATGGAAGTGTCGTGTTTTCAGCATGCTATCTTTAATTTTGTTTATGTTTGTTATCTTGTATAACGTTTTTAAGCGTTAAACTGCAGTTCATAAAACTACATGATTTTATTCTAAATTGAAAAACAATATTATTGTGAGCATGTATATATTAGTTACTAATATCTATTCATAGTTCGTCTTGTATCAATTCACTAAACTTACCGTAATCGCAAGCCTAATATAAACTAATCCCCGACTTCCCCCGAGGCCAATTAAAATTGCTTTTAAAAAAAAATGCAATCAAACAGCTGCCTATTGTATCGATCGTGTTTGCAAAGTTTTAAAATATCGGTTAGGGAGTGTTTTGGACAAAGGTAATGAACAGAACATGAACCAGAAAAGGAGTTTAATTTTCATTAAAATTATTAAGATTATTTGACTGAAAATTATGTCAAAGAGTCGTACAATGGTCAGACCGCATGATCAAATACACCCATTCAATTCGTTTTCGAGTGGGGTATAATACATGTAACTATATCGTTCTAACATAACGTTGAATCCTATTTTATTGATTTTACTGTGAAATAAGATATTTTCGTAGGTCCAAAGTTGTGTGGTTTCCTGACAAAATAACATTTTGTGGTTACATGAATTCGTTGATAACGAGTACCAACTTTAACGGAAAAACGCTTTGTATCAAACTTGTAATTATTTCGCGGATAAGGATTACCAAGTAAATCAACGAAATTAAATATCCCACGGAAATTAATGCTTTCAGTGTAACTATAATTCGGTGTAGAAATATATCATCCACGCTCTAATAAACAGGGTTGTTCAGGTTTACAACACAGTTACCAACTCTCTATCAGTTGGAATATATGAAGCCCTTTTAATTATGAACAACCTGATTTTTAAATGTAATTGGACAATAAGCAATTTAATAACGCTGAATCGTGGCGTACACAACTAGTTTCATTTTGGCCATAATTCAATGCATTGCAGACTATACATCAAATTAAAAAACACATTGGAGATGTTTTGTTTTCTTTTTCTAAGTTCATTCCCATTGACATGTCTGTTATAAATAGTGATACCACAGACCGACGACAGACGGAAGCATGATAAATGCGATGGTACAGAGGCTAAATCAAGGAAGCTACAATATAAGGATTGAGCGTTCGATTTCTACCTTATATTTATGTGTAAAGTATACCTATAAATACTTAAAGATATATGTATACTGAGTAAGCGATGTCCACATTTCGACAGTCCACTCTGTCTCATACAGACATGAACATGATTAATGCGCTTTATATACCCAACTATCCTACCACTTATGTAAATGGAGCGGCGGTCAACTTCCTGTTTATCGGGAAACGCTAGGTAAAGGAAATATTATCTTGCATATATTTCATTGTCAGCTTGAGGTGTCAGTTTCAATATGCCCACTTTATTCCAGATTATCGGACACACAGTCATGTTAAAGTATACCCACCTTACCATACCTATGGGGACAAATTGCCATGTTCCAATTACTACGGTACAGACAGGAACCAGTGGTATAAAATGGGTCTGGCTTCACCACCTGTGTGCCTGGTAGTGAGGTCAGAGACCCATCCGTGTCCCTACAGGTGGCCCCCTGGTCTCCAGCGTACTTAGCATAACCTGCCTTCTTTGCGTTACCGTCATAGATCCGATTTCCCATCCTTACCTGCGCGTGTTAAAGTTGTATTTTATGCAATAATCAAACAAGTTTATTACACAAATATGATTTCAGAGGGATAGGAAAACAAGCTTATATCATATTTTCTTTCTTCTCCCCATAATTATGTTGTTAGCTAAAGTTATTAGCCTTGTTTTATTTACAGCTAATTACGCTCTTTACATGGATATTCACAGAGTTACCTATTGCAACGACGCTGAATTGAATGAAACTGAAACTCAATGCAGTGTTACCTCTAATCACCGAAAAATTGTCTGAATAGTTTGGGACATTCGTGTGAAAATGATAATTTTAATACCTTAGTTATTAAGGCCAAAGCATTTGCATACGACAACCAGTTCTTTACACTGAAACATAGTGTGCATGTATAATAGTCCATATGAAATGGAAACTGAAACTAAATTGAATAAATGTCATTTTGAGACTAAATGTTACCCCATCGTTGAAGCCAAACATTAACCTGGACACGGAAGTAACAGGGGAGCTTGGGAACTTGTTTTGAAGCTGGAAACCAAGAGCGCTCAAAGTATAATTAGGGTTGACTCCAAAACCATCGAACCATATGTTGTGTAGATGGACAGGACCGTCATAGACCGTGAACCCCATGACAGGGTGATGTCTGGAGGAAAACAAATAGAAGAAAACAAGTTTTGGATATACGGCGGAAGGATTATTTGTCCCATAGTTCACATTATCTTGAAGCTTAATTTTTATATATTCTACACAATGAATTGGCAGTTCGGTCATGTTAACTAGAATGTCGCATTTTTAATAATTGCTGAAAAGTGAAATAAACAGTGATATTTTGGAAAACCAAAGAAAATCATTTGGAAAGTATTCTAGCACATCGTATTTTTTGTTTAAGTAGGTACTTTAACTCACACAATTTAAAGATGATTTGATCATTTTACAATGACAAAACGACTTAGCAATTACGCATTCGAATTCCGGGACCTTTTTAACCAATGTAAACTGCAACCACACATCAAACTAAAACAATCATGTCAGCACTATCAGGTATCACACTTGATAGAGGAATTTAAATGCATAGTGGATATCGCAGGATCTTGGAGTTCGAATACGTATATTAGACTTTAAGAATACATGACATGTATCCCCAAAACGACAGCATTGACATACGTAAAAAGGAATGAATTAAGTTCCTATATTGTCTGAAAACAATCTGTACGAGTCCTTTCTCACACGTCATGTAAATATAGGTCAAATGCAGGTAATGTCATGTCACATAAGTGAGCATAGTCAAACGTTTCGACTTCCATCCCTTTCATGATGACTAACATAAAACTTGTCCATAAACCTGTATGTTTGGAGATTATGTTCTGTATATTTTTATATTAATCTTACATATCCCAGGGAATTGGCATTGAACGAGGCATTGAGAACCACTGCTTGTTTGATATGTTGTACAGCTTCGTGTCATCGCCAATGTTGGCACTCTCCCCGATGATCACCGAGTCAGATAGAAATTGAACTTGATCTCCATTCCTTGCAAACGTTAGGGCCTTCGCACTATCTGAAAACCTTGAAATTGTTAGAATCATCAGCAAGCCTGTTTGAGAATCATCTTATCGTAAAAATTATCTTTAAACCACTATCTCGAAAATTCAAATTTCACTTTAATAATTTAGCAATCGTAATTCTTTTTACTTTATTGTTTTATTGTAAGATTTTGAACATAAATAATAGTTTAAAGGATGCGCTTAATTGGCGATGATCTTTGGAAGATATAAATGACAAACTCATGACTTACATTTTGACTTTTATTAATAAACTAAGAACGGTATTTTGATGGGTAAACTTCCGGTTAAGTTTCGATGCGATTAATTTGATCAGATTTTGACATTTTTGAAAAACAAATTATAATGAGTTTTTAGTGTATTGATGAACTTACGATGATCTTGTGACGCGTATCTGACCTCCTCGTATCCAGGCATTATGCATGTTATTCTTGTAGCCTACAACACAGGATATATTACGGCTCAACAATGAAATGCATGGTTAGTTATTCAAGAAAAAGGTTCCATTGCATTAATGTGCTACATGTAATATGCAGATTTACACGAAAATATTCGTTATATTGCCTAAAATTAATTATTTGCCATTTATAATCAGCCAGTTCCTTCTGTTATTCGATCTTTACTCTTGGGGAAACGTTTTGCAACAGAAACTGAAATGAGTTAATTTTTATTTTCATTATTTAATTTTGTTACGTTTGAATATGAATTTTGTTTAAACGTTTTAAGTGTACAAACTTTGTCTTCGTTAAATGGCAAGTAATTGTCTGTTCTCGTAAACACACAGAAGTAAGCTTACATGTTAATCTGTCTATGATTACTTCTTTGTCGGGGGACATCTCATTCAGGGGGTCTTCTTTTGGTTCATATCCATTGGTGGAACCGATGGAAAAATTGGCAAGCAATTTCTGGTCAATGTTTACTCCAAGCTATTATGAAACATTGTGCCGTTAGTGATTTTGAGTTTATGATTAAATTTAGGTTTGACGTGTTTTAAGTGTTGTGGTACGTGTTTAATCTGTAGTGATACTTGTTACATCTGTAGTGGTACTTGTTATAATTGCAGCGTCACTTGCTATATTGTAATGTTACTTGCTATAATTGTAATATTACTTGTTAATTGTCTATCTGAAGTGTTACCTGTTATGTATGTAGTATTACTTCATGAAGCTATAATATTACTGGTTTTATCTGTAGTGTTACTTGTTGTATTTGATTTTTACCTGGTATATCTGTATTGTAACTTGTTATTGCTATATTGTTCCTTTTTGTATCTCAAGTGTTACTTGTTGTATTTGTAGTGTAACATGTTATAAAATAGATTACAATATATAATATCATAGATGTATTACATTTTAAGTATATTGCATTTTCTACTGTACTTATGTAATTGTAATACGACGGAAGAGAGTGGCCGGTTACCACATAGTTGGAATGGGCTACGTTGTTACTGAACTCCACGAGAGCCGTCCGACTAGCCTCGCCCTTTGCCATGAACCCAAGCCCTTGTGAAAGTCCTACCGGCGAGTCAGGGAACACAAACCAGAATCCAGTATTCTATAAGATAATACTTCGCTCAATTAGTACATTAAAAACGAACATCTAAATAAATCAAAACGCTTTAATACAGTCCTTTACTTACGTTTCCTTGAAGCGTACTGCTCCTTCAACACGTCTACTTTTACTCATGTTACTTTAAATATCTTCCGTTATTTATTAAACTTTTATTGTAAATGATTTTTATTTCTTTGGTAAATTATCTTTTATTTTATTTTAGTTTTCTTTCATTTCCCCTGTGAGTTTCTTTTATACATTTCTCCTGTAACCTACCTACATTTTCGCCTGTATCGTAGGAACATTTCGTGTATCTTGCTTAAACTTTATTCTTGTAACTTAGGTTTCTCCTGTAGCTCATTTATATTTTATCTGTAACTTTTTTACGTTTTCCTTAATACGATACCCAAGGGGAAAACGAATTGGTTTTACTAAATCATATTTTAAATAAAAAATTGTTAATATTAAATTCAGAAATAAAGGGTTCGTTATTTGTTATTTAGGGAGGATAAGACCCCGTTGTCAGGAATGTACCTTTACTTGACCAATCCAATCATACACGGCTTACTTTTTTCCACTCGTTGAAAATAAAAACATGCACGCATTTTATTTTTCCGATAAAACTATTTATCTTATGTATTAATCATATGTGTCGTGTCGTCACTAATGAGGTAGAATAAGCAGTAGTATCAAATATGTACGAACCTCACTCCCAGCTGCCACATTGTTACGCACGAACGTCAGAGGGTTGGTGATCCAGAACGTCGACGGAGATCTGACAAAGAAAATAGACTTGCCTACACAAATGATTTGTTCCCATATCAATATGTATAACGACAAATAAGAAAACGCTATAATTTTAATTTATTTAAGGTCAAGTTTCAGTAATACTTTCTTCAAAATATTATTTCATCAGCAACACATGAATATGTGGAATAGCAAATATAAAACGCTGTTTTTATTGAGGTTTGCTAAAATTCGATTAAATGAATTTTCGGTATCCTTACACATCTGCTGGAATGAGGGATCCTTTCCTGGTGCTTGCTCCAAGGTTGCCATCTAATACCGTCCTCTTCTCCCCACCATCTTCGATATAAAAAGCGTGCCCAAGACAGTCGTAACATACATTATCCTTCACCTGTATTAACACAAATTACCTTTGGTGTTTTAAGAATGTTGGGCGTAGATATATTATATAATATGCAGGCGACATGTTCCCAGCGTTTGGTTTATTTATAAGTAAATACAGCTTTCAGTTTCGGCTTTATTCGTTTATAACTGGCAGACAAACGTATACCCCTTGACTTTCTATTTCTTTCAAAACTTTTTATTTCTGAATTCGTTCTCATTTCCTACCTGAAGCCCATGTGTAGCATGGACGACAACACACCTGGCGAAGGTATGGTGTATGGAGTTGTTGGCGACGTACGGCGGGTTTGGATACCTCACATGATCGTCCACATCCCCGGACATGTGGAAGTGGATAGGGTATCTTCCTGGCAGACAAACATTCACAAAAGTAGGTAAAACAATATTGAAGTAAACTTTTTTACTGGTTAATTATATTTATAAAAATGTCATTTACATCAAATGTCTACCCAAAAGTATGGCACTATAATAAAGTACAATTTGTAATTAAATATAATTTAGTTGTGGGAGGTGAGTATTACCTTTTTGTCTTTTTCTTTCACATAATAACAATATATAAAACGTAATTTACTTACTTAGTTCTGTTTGGGATCCAAAATGTTTTATCTCCACGCCTTCTATATGAACACTCCAAAAATTTGGTTGTATCTAAAAACCAAAAAAAAGGTGCAATTACTTGTTTGTGTGTTTTTTCGAGTCTCGAAGAAAACAAAAAAAAACATAAACTGTTAGTTAGAATATGTCATATTACTCTTATCTGGTTTAGTTGTCATTTAACTATGACATGTTTATCATACCTGGTACACATGAATGGTTAGGGTCATTGAGTAAACATATCGATTCATAACGTTAAGTAACATTGCTTCGTGTCATTTAACGCCGAACTCGTGATAGCGTGTTAACAACTTTTCAAAGGTAAGTTTTTAGTATTAAACAAACATTCGGTAGTATCTTTTATCGAATATTCATATATCATAAGTCATTTATCTGAATTAATATCATCTGTTAATTCACGTCGCCAGAATTGAATTGTTTACCCTCAAATGTGCTCCGAATGTATCGTAGGGATAAGCGTCACAGTTGCCGTTCTCTGGGGGACAATACTCGGCCATCCGTCCCTGTAGGACGATGTTACGAGACAGCAATGCCACCTCCCCACGACAGTCCACGTTGTTTATCATTTCTCCCCAGTGTGTGTACTTAGTTTCCACTACAAAGAAAGTGTAATATAACGATAACCAATATTTAATAGCTTAAACTAGACTTCACAAAACGACTTTGATTAAATATTGATAAACTGTATAAAAACTCGAATCATGAAGTTCTGCTACCAGACAATATCTCATTTTTATTTTTATTCCATGGAGATGCGAGTTTGAGAGCGGGTTATTGTTTAGCTCTTCAATGAGGTACATACAATAAACTCTCAGCTGATGGGTACTGCACTCCAGACACGGCACAATTGTAGCCTCCTCTGCTTGTTTCCAGTTAAAGTCAGTCGAGGTCAGCACCACTGCATCTCCTGTCAAAATTACAACATTGATAATTTAATTATAGATTCTAACTTCAAGATAGCTTATCAGACGATTCCATAATCTCTTCGACACTGCAGCATTAGTTCTTCTTACCAACATCCCAGGAAGTGACGTCATCAATGACGTTCAGCTTTGGGTAGGCGTAGTCTGTATCCAAAATACGAAGGTCTATGTGCGATTTCCATTTCTCTGTCTTGTCGATGTAACTTTCTACGATATATATCCGTCTCCTGTTCCAATTCGTACATTTTGCTGATATTTCGGATACTGTACTCGTCGATCCGTTGTGTTTACGTTCTATCGTAAAAGAAGGATCGCCTACAATGACAATTCAATGATGCGTTCATGATCATTATAAAAATGGAAAACATTAATTTGTGTTATTGGAAAACATAAATAAACACGAACTCACATGCGTCTAATAACACTAAACGTAAAGTGTCAAAAGTCTATCTCAAAATGACATATTTCGTTAACAATTAGAATAATGTTTTGGAAGAGCTGTTTAACCTTCCGCACTACATCATGTGAAATGTTGCAAAGAATCTACTATAGTTTCATTGGCTAAAACCTTGAATGGTTTAAAATATCTAACTACATTGTGGGTCCAAATGAAAGGAACAGAACCTGAGCACGTACAGTACTAATATTTATAAAACCTACTTCAGAGAAATATGTATATGAGGTACCACATATCATTTATCGATGTATTTATTTTTATACGAATGGATGAAGATAAGTAGTCTATATTTCGAATATGTAAAGAAAGATGTAGTCGAATACAGTAAACATATAATTATTAAATATGCAAGAATATTCATAGTGAACAACTTCTTACCGGCTTTCGCTATCATAACATAGGCATCGCCATCCTGTACCGTTCGGAATAATCCTTGCCCGCTAACGGAACCAAACGCAAACTCCTCCAGCTCGTCAAATACCCAAGACAAATCTGATGTGTTCACCATTGAGTGTTGCACGGAAAGGAACAAGAGTTTACCGGGAGAAATACCTGAGAGGAAAAATATATTGTATAAGTTGTTACAACATTTGATATAGCGCCCTAGCTAGTTAGCATAAGTCACTCCGAAGCGCTTTACAGTACATATTTATACAGTGTATCAATCAATTCAATTATCATATACGTTAAGAAATACATTAATCAATACAATTTTGAGGAATTTGCAAGAGCTTCCTTATCAGGCGCTAACTACTAGTACTATAACATCTGGCTAATATATCCCTATGTGTGTATGCATGCGTGTGTGCTGGAGATGTATTGTTTTCTATTTGTAGTGGCCTGGGACCGTGCTTCCAACAGCATCTGCTACAGCATAGATAACGCAACACTCACCCAGGCCATTTTATATTCCACCTGGTTTGTTGGAGTTGTGTGGGCAGGAGAAAAACACTTTCTCTGAATATCCATGCGTAGGACGGCTGCGGGGATCGAACCCCGGCCGCCTGAGTGGAAGAACAGAGTGTTAACCGCTCGGTCAATCCGCCCATTAACACCTCGATGGTATGTTTACATAATTATGTTATTTAAATTGATCCTCCTATACCATCGACCTGTTCTGAAACATGCGAAATGTGTACCTTTCAAGAACGGCCGTACATCCCGAATGTGATAGTTCGTCATCTGTTCATTCCTGCCACTCAGATAGAACATTCGGAACGCCTCCACTTCATCTGTCATTGGATCAATTACATAGGCTCCTAAACCTTCCATCCAATCGTCTTTCTTCCATAGATGACTTTCCTATAAACGCAAATAATACTTATACAGTATACATGACTTGTTAAAATTCTTTATAAGTGTGCGTTTAATTTATTATTTGTGATGATATGATCAGCTAAGTGACATATTATGGTGTCACTTGACGCGTAACTAATGTTGTAATTTGACTTTGGGGATGATGTATTACTCCTTTTTTTTACTTTTTAGGTCCAACTGCGTGACTCTCCTTCAAATATTTATCTATCACAAATAGAAGTACATGATCTGACCCACAAACAGGCATCTTTTGTTTTAAAGGTAAGCATGTTACCTGTTCGCTATGTGTATTCAGTTCCTCTCGTTCTGTTCTTGTGTAACCTTATTATGTTGATGAGGCGTAGAATTAAAAATAAACAAGCGATATTTAACTTAACTTCCTTACACACTTTTGTGTCTATGATACATGAACATACGATATTATATATTATGATATTAAGCACAAATATGAGTTTAACTTAATTAATATTTCAGTCAAAGTGAATCTTTACAAATGCTACAAAAGGTCATCCTCTCACAAATATGGCTTATCTTTCTTTGAATCTTTTTATATTTAACATTTACATCTATAAAGTTTTATTCAATATGCTTCCACCTACTCTTTACAACGATAGTAGGAGCCGTCCATTTGGTTATATTAGTTTCCTTGACATTAATTATAACTATCATGTAATGATATTATTCATGATAAAGATCCTTCATGGATTATTGGGTAATTTGAGACTGTTATTACAGTCGTTTTCGCTTTTTAATCCTCAGTGTATCACTGTATTAACAATGCCTTCTCTCCTTCTGGTTAACTTAGGGCTGAAATAACTTTTATGTTTGCTTCCTACTGTTTACTGACTGCATCGACTGTAATTACAGTCATGTTTTCTTACTGGTTACATTATCACTGTTATAACAGTACAGTCTGTCCCTGTTGGCACCCTACTGGTTAATGTAAGACTTATATCAAGTTCTTTCTGTCCCTTACCGGTTACCTTATGACTGTAGACATATCCGTGCCCCTGCGTTAGTTTGGGCACCGTTCTGTTAAGCTTTGTCCAGGACACCTTCTCCCTTCCATGAAGTTCAAGTATACCACCACTGTCCACACCGATAAACTTCTCTCCAAAACCAATTACGTCATAGTCACCACGCTTACCTGTAAATACGTCAGGATATATAATTGTTCAATCAAGCATGGGGTCCGTATAACATGTATAGTAAACTTTTCAGTATAATATTTTGCACTTGTGCGGAACACAGTTTTCTTGTGTATTATAGTGTATATATCCAGCATCATACGTAGTTCTATTAACGCTTAAATATACTAATAAGCTATCATGGTTTTCTTTCCCCTTATAACGGTCAAATACCAGTACTTGTGTAATTATCAGTGTAAAATTAACAAGGGAGATAACCTGCCTCTGTCATAGCTTACCTGTAATGGTGATGATAGTCCTACCACCATACTTGCAGTCCTCCGATCCGATGTCCATCCGCCCCTGTACGAGGAGAAAGCCCACGGTCAGGTTGACACTCCCCGTGGGTTTCCATACCAGTCTACCACCATGAGATATTGTCACACTTGTTAAGGTTGGCGGGGTGATATCCAACAAAATAGCTGTATGCACCTTCACTTCCTCCATAAAGCTGGGAGTCTTAATGAGGAAGCAAAAGTTCCAGTTTATAACATCAGTAATTGAATGGTTAGGCTTTTCGAAGACATTGTTTTCCTATGAAATATTTAGCAATACCTATCCGGGAACCCATTCTTTGTTAATACATTGATATACACAGTATCACACGGAGTGATGCAACAACAGTAGTGAACTGCTTGTGAATCCCTTCAGGAATATATTTCCATAATAACAATGTTTGTATAGTAACAAAACAATATCACACCATACGTCAATCTAACAATATTTCGAGCTATGAAATATTTTTATTTGTAGTAGGTAAACCAAAATGACCTGGGGAAACGGAAACACGTGACAGGATCTCAACAGGCCCCGTTTTCATCAACGTTCCTTAACTTTAATGTTTCCTTAACTTAAAATCGCTTCCTTAAATTTAAGGAAGGATTAAAGTTAAGGAAGCTTCATGAAACGCGATTTTATTTGAGTTAATTAAGTAATTTCCTTAAATTTAAGGGAAAAGCTGATTTTAGGAGCTCTTTAAAATTAAGGAAAGTTCATGAAGCCGGGGCCAGGTTACCAACCATTCCGCTGGGCCAGCTGGCAGGATTTGACCACGGCCTCAATGCAGGGTCTTCATGTGGACAGGAAGCGTGAACGACGCCAATCTGATGGTAAAAGAGTTAATAGAAACGTAATATTAATATATGGGAATAAATACAATCTATGCAACACGTCATATACATCGACCTTGAGCAAGATAAAGTCTATTTTTCCAATTATGTGTATGCAAAATTAACAGAAACTTTCGGCCTCTTGCGGTCGAGTTTAAGCGAAAGGGAATAGTCTTAAGTTACCAAACGCGAGGTCTCTCCAACGCTTAAAATGCCCTTTTCAACCACAGGGGGCATTCTTGTTTTAACCCACACTACCCCAGGTATATTCCAAATTTTGCAAGGAAAAAGATAAACCTTTCTCTCCCTTCCTAGAAAAAGATAGCTCACACGCGCAATTATTCTTGAAACGTCATAAACGCCGCATCACTTAATGCTGTATTGCCAGGGTAACGTCATTTATTTTGTCAAACACTCCATGCTCTCTTGGTGGTGGCGCGAAGTATTGGGTTAACAATTACAATTAATTTTTAGGATAGGAAAGTGAAAGAAAATTATAATCAATCACTCCTGTGTGATGTAAGCACAAAAATTTCAACCCTCGGGATAATATTTTTGAATTTAGCACGAGGCTTTAAACTGCAACATTATTACCCTCGGGTTGAGATTTCTCTGTCTTTCTCGCACAGTAGTGATATATGCTATTACTCTCACTTAGCTGACCCCGTCATATATATAATGAAAATGTTAATGTTACAGGGTCATTGCATGTTTGACGTGACGTTAGTAAATTCCCTATCTCCATACCTACGTGTGATAGAGTCTTTACGTAAACCACAATATACATCAATTTGCGGATACATACCATTTACGTAGCACATCATATATCATATACATGTATAATCATTTATATTTCAATTAGAGTGCTTAAATAAATTATTACCATTTAATTATCATTTACGATATGTGCACAATGGTTCCAATATTTAGCATCCTACTAACGGTTACTGATGTCAATGAAATAAGGGAACAGGCACAGACATCTCCATATAAATAATATACAGATGGCAACAAATGAACATGCAATAAAAAAATATAATAATAAGTATAAAACACTGTCTGGTGGTCCGACGTCATTTAACCTGTACGATAGGTTGTAATTAAAATGAATAAGTCGGTAAAACAAACTATCTTTCAATATAACGATATATAGATGTCAGAAAAAATTGTATACTCATCATAGTGGTATGTAGATTAAATAATGCATCGCAGGTGTGCATTTAAACGGCAACACTTACAGAAATATAATGTTTTATCGTTTAACCCGACACGGACGTCATTTATCGTACTCTGTTTTAAACAAGTTCACTAAGTTAACTCGTTAAACATCTTTCAGATGGTTAAACCATTGATTTATGTATTGAGTTTAATTTACAAATTCAATTTTCCTATAAGATGATTGTTTTAAATATGTGACAGTTACAAAAATAATCATAAATATATGTAATTTATGTACCGGACGTGTACAAGGTATTAAATGGTTTCCCGTTTTTCACGAGTATGCCAGAATGCCTGCAAATTTTCACGAGTGCGTGCCGTGCGAATAAAAATGCTTGTATTCAACGGAAAATTTATTAATCTTTATTAGAGAGGAAAATATCAAAGCATCACATACGTGGAGAAATGTATAGGGTAACCATAGATAATGATGTCACGCTTAAAAGCAAAGGCTGCACACCATTTTGATTGGGCTACTCCTTTTATCTGATCATTTTTGTTATTATTAATTTATAAAGTGTGTAGTTAAGTAAAGATACAAGTTTTTGTAACAAATATTCGCCAGAACAAACGTAAATCCTACCCTTTCTTTATTTGCGTCTATCTAATAATCCTTTGAATGCAGTAATTAAAAAGTACTCTTCTGATTGGTCAATACCGTAAGAAACATCTTCCAACTAGTACTGTGACGGTAACACTTGTGATAGCTGTTACTGTGTGAAAGATATAAGATAGTCATTTTTTATAGAATCAAGCATCTTAATGGCAAAGTTGTAATGAAAGAAAGAATTGAATAGCAATAAATCAATTTTACTTTCGCCAAGCTGTGACAGTTACGTAAAAAGATCAAATCTTCTAAAAAAAAAAAAAAAAGCAAAATTAACATGTCCCTGATGTCCAAAGGCTGTGTATATATCATACACACATCGAAAAGGTCTATGTGTCATAACTGTCATATTTTGATGCATCATCCAAATTAAATTATGCATCTCCGCTAAGGCGCATTGCATTTCTTGCACCCTGTGTGAAAAACAACTGATGTTTGAGCTTGTTGTATGCACATATCTGCATATCGGATATGAAAAGGCTGTCGCTCACAGAATTTCAAGCTGTCGAGCTGGTGGCAATATGCATGAACAAATAAGCTTATGAATATGTATTTGCTTTTTTAAAAACACATCGATTCAAAGTAAATATATCAAGTATTCCTAACAAACATACAAACATACGCTGTAATTAAAATTCTATTTTAACTAGCAGTGATTCAGACTATTTTCTTTTTTGAGACATTTGAAAACAATATCAAAACTTCTGTTCTGAGTATAATTCATAATTGCTAACAACTTATCCAGGACACTGTCACAGCGTCAACAAAAGATACAGGTTTATGATAAATGACAGTAGCGACCAAGGCCCACACTTAAACGAGAGGAAAGAAATCATAAACCAGTACATGAAATCAAGGAAGGAAAGATATGTTCCAATAAGATAAGCGTGTCTTGTAGCACATGTGGATTCTGCAACGTGTCTAAAGTTATAGCAGTCAAAGAAAGCCCATTGTTCCAAATATGATAATGATGAGGCCTATAAAATATCATCAACGTAAACTGAGATCCCTCCAGTAGAAAACCTTGACTACGTAATTTTTGTTCAACAGAAAATACCAGAAATATTCAGAAAGTTCGTAGAGTATGTTTCCTATAGAACTTGTAAATAAACCAATCACAATAAACCCATTCAGCAGTCTTGGCATTTCATTGTACATGTAGTATAACTATAATGGTCAATCTATGGCAATTTTTAACGTAGATGCTTTCATTGGGTAGTGCTAGAATTGTTGAAAGCTAACTGTGAGCGCCGAAATGGCAGCACCGGCTGTATGCTCCCCAGGAAATTGAGAAAGATATTGGCTGGAAGCAAAGGCCCTATAACCACGGATAATAATTTGTGAACAGGTTTGAGACGATCTACGAACTAGGTTGTGATAAAGCGGTATGTAGGAACCTCCAATTATTATTTATTATGATATTCTGAGGTCAGAGTTTTATTATACACACATCTCAACTTGACGTAATCCGTCCGCCCGTTAACTTTTTCGTTTCTGCACTTTGCGTCAATGTATTTGGTAATAGGATTAACATAAAAATTGCACAGCAATTACAATCTACAAGATGCAAGACTTATATTGGCCAAAATACGTGCAGACTAATCTGATTTTCACGTGATATCTTCATATTTACCTATAAAAATGCTGAATGCCTAGTTGAGAGTTTTATGCAAGGTATCAGAGAAGTTGGCATAATAAATGATAAGTCTTTACCTTTGTGTTCTTGGAGTATTCCAAACATAAGACGTTTAAAAATAGCATATAACTTTAGAAGTGTGAAAATATCACTTTTTGCTATTGACCAACCATAACGGTATCTTCTATTCGCTGCATTCAAAAGCAACGATTTTTTGTTCAGATTCAAATGAAGTGACGGTAGAATAAGTGGTTGTAATGGTAAATGTTTGGAACACAAACTGAAGTATTTACATAAATATACAATCAATAACATTGTTACAAGCAATCATACCAGAAAAATGCAGAAAACGTCAGAATTGCGTCGAGCATCCCACTCAAAATGGCGCGTAGCCTTGTTGTCAAGCGTGACGTCATTATAATATGGCGCTAATTATTACACTGCTGATTCCCGCCCTTTTTTAATGTATTGCATTTTTCAAGTTTTATGCTTTAAAAATGTAATACATGTATATAGAAAATTTAATGGTGTCTTCAGGAGTAACAAATATATTTCATGACATATATTTGTTATTACTGAAGACACCATTAAATATCCTCTATGTATCGATTTGAATTGACACACCAGCTAACCGTAACAAATAAAGAAAAGGTAAAATGGTTAGAAACGTTCATAATTTCACATATCAAGGCATATAGTAATAACTATAAAATACATGTGAAGCGCGCGAACTATTTTCTTCGGTGAAAGGCCTACGAAAATAGCGACTTATGATGATCTTTTAGCTTGATTTCTGCACGTTAACTAGAAAGTAATGCACTTCACTGTAAACCATACAATTAAACAAAATCGATACATAAAGACAACAAGGTCAACTAAGGAGGTGAAAATTCACAAAAAACACTCATCAATCTCAAAAAAAATAGGAACGAAAGAAACATTAGTAATCAAAATACTCATAAATTTCAAGGCGAAGTATATAGGTCGCCTACGGCCTAAGGCAAGTGAAAATATTTGTAACCGTGGTAGGCAATTAAGTGGAGGTCATGTCATGATTACGACCGTAAAATCACTTCAACGTAAATTAAAGACTCAGCTATAAATTATGTTTATAGTTGATTGGTCAACTGTTATGTAAACCCAGGAGGTCCTAACACTTATAACATGTTTAAGTATATGTAATAAAATGTTCGACGTAAACTTCATAAGAATATACATAATCTTTATTCAGCAATAGACACAAATGTCTTTTTGCCATAAATACATTGCATATACAAGGATATATGTAGTGGTACAATGCATTAAATTACATAAATATATTATAAAGTAAAACAGTGACTTTCCATACTTAAATGCAGGTTTCACGACATCAGGGCGGACGTTACTCCTGATTAAATAAGTTAATGTTCCGTATCTCATTCGCTTTAAAAATGAAAGCGGCAATATTTGTCAATGTACTCTTGCTCGTAGTCGATATTAATTCCAGGAACTTTGGTCTATTTGGGTGATGAAAATACCTTCTCTTGATATACA